AATGGAGTTAAGGAAGGACAAGCTTCTTATGTAAGTGTTATTTTGTCCTCAGCTAAATCTCCGAACTTTCTACTAAATCAAAGCTAAAGCTCCGATTTTTCCGCTTAGATTACAGATTCAATGTGTTATTAAACTATACGTAACCTGCTAATTAGGGTTTCAGATTGCAGATTCAAGATTAAAAATCCTGTCTTTTTCTCCTCTTTACAGGTTTTATTCAGATGGGAAAGAAAGCAAAGAAGGTGGTGTATGGGCAGTGAATGATCCAATGAGCAAATCTTATAAACTCTCTTTACCTTCAGCTTTAAAGCCTGATAATAACAATCTCTTAGCTGGAAACAGAATTAGTTCCAAAATCATCAACAACAAGTTTAATAAATCTTCCTCCAAAGTCTCATGGTACAGAACAATTCTTGATCCAGGAAGTGAGATTGTCTTGAAATGGAATTGGGTTTTCATTGTCTCATGTATGGTTGCTCTCTTCATAGACCCTTTGTATTTCTTTGTACCATCCATTGGAGGAAATGTAAGTTATCCCTGCGCGAAAACCGACACGCGTTTGAGAATCCTCGTTACTTTCTTTAGGACGATTGCAGATCTTTTCTACTTGCTGCACATTTTCATTAAGTTTAGGACCGGTTTTATCGCTCCGAATTCGAGTACACGAGTGTTTGGTAGAGGTGAGCTTGTGATGGATCCTAAGGCTATTGCTTGGAGGTATCTTAAATCTGACTTCATCATCGATCTCATTGCGACTTTACCACTTCCTCAGATTGTTATTTGGTTTGTTATGCCTGCTACAAGAAGTTACCGGTTTGATCATAGCAATAATGATCTTGCTTTGATTGTGCTTCTTCAATACATTCCTAGATTCTATTTGATAATTCCGTTAAGTTCTCAAATCGTTAAAGCGACTGGAGTGGTTACAAAGACTGCTTGGGCTGGAGCTGCTTATAATCTCTTGCTATACATGCTAGCTAGTCATGTATGGATCCCATTACTTATTCTTCTTCATTTGGTATAGTGATTATAATCTATACTATAGCTTGGATCTTTTTGTTTGGGCAGGTGCTTGGTGCGGCGTGGTATATATTATCGTTTGATAGGTACACATCGTGCTGGAAATCGAAATGCAACAAAGAAGCTGGTGGAATCAATTGTCATCTTTATTACTTAGACTGTGATTCACTCAATGACACCACGCAGATTAATTGGGCAAATGTCACAAAAGTGTTTAAACTCTGCGATGCACGAAATGGGGAGTTCAAGTATGGGATATTCGAGAGTGCAATCACGAAAAAAGTCGTCTCTTCTAACTTCATAGAGAGATATTTCTACTGTTTGTGGTGGGGATTGCAACAGCTTAGGTAAGTACATAGATCATGAAAATTCAGCATTAGATGTCATATTATTCTCCTTTTTTCAGTTGTGAGTTTTGAATAACCGATGACTTTTACTGTTCTTATCATCCCAGTTCCTATGGGCAGAATTTGTCCACAACCACATTCATCGGTGAAACCACATTTGCTGTGCTCATTGCAATCTTCGGTCTTGTCCTCTTTGCCCATCTCATTGGGAATATGCAGGTATGGGTTCCTGCAATAGGAAAGCTGAATACATACTCTTCTTTTATGCTGAAGTGTTACAATTCAGCCGCAATAAGTTGAATTAGTGGAAAATGTTTCTGCTTTTGTTCTTATGTTTCTTGTGTTCTTGTGTTTATTGTTAGACATATCTGCAATCTTTGACTGTACGGCTTGAGGAATGGAGATTGAAGAAGAGAGACACCGAGGAGTGGATGAGACATCGACAACTTCCTGAAGATTTGAGAAACCGTGTGAGGCGATATGAGCAGTATCGGTGGCTTGCAACAAGAGGAGTCGATGAAGAGATTCTCCTGCAAAGTTTACCCACTGATCTTCGCCGTGATATTCAACGCCACCTCTGTTTAGATCTTGTTCGAAGAGTAAGTTTTTCTACTGATTTGTTTATCCTACAAATAGAACTTTCGAGAAATATCCAACATTGACATTATTGGCTATGGATTATCGCGATTATCACTTGAACAAATTATTTATCAAAAACTAGTATTTGATCATACAGATTTATATAAACACCCTTGTTTATAACTTAAGAATGTGTTTATCTCTGAATCATGCAGGTCCCATTTTTCTCCCAAATGGATGATCAATTGCTTGATGCGATCTGCGAGCGTCTGGTTTCTTCACTGTGTACTGAAGGGACTTACCTTGTACGTGAAGGTGACTTAATCACAGAGATGCTCTTCATCATCAGAGGTAGACTCGAGAGTTCCACAACCAATGGAGGCAGAACCGGTTTCTTCAACTCGATTATACTAAGACCTGGAGATTTCTGTGGCGAAGAGCTACTTTCTTGGGCGCTCCTTCCAAAATCAACCTTGAATTTACCGTCTTCCACAAGAACAGTTAGGGCTTTAGTTGAAGTTGAAGCATTCGCTCTTCGAGCTGAAGATCTGAAGTTTGTTGCGAATCAATTTAGGCGGCTTCACAGCAAGAAGCTTCAACATACTTTCAGATTCTACTCTCACCATTGGAGGACTTGGGCTGCTTGCTTCATACAAGCCGCTTGGCGCAGGTACAAGAGAAGAGTTATGGAGAATAATCTCATTGCGATTGAATCAAAG